ATGGATAAAGTAGAATCAGATACGGATTTTTTTGATAATGTTCTGTTTTCGGACGAGTGCACGTTTTATAATAATGGACTCGTTAATCGCCATAACTTTCATTATTATAGTGATGAAAATCCTTACGTCTTTCGTACTCTCGATCATCCGCATAGGTGGTTCTTGAATGTGTGGGGAGGAATATTTGGTTTACATATTATTGGTCCTTATTTTTTGACCGGTCATCTTAATGGCAGAAAATTTCTAAAATTTTTGCGAAGAAAATTATCTGGGCTCCTTGATAATGTACTTTAAATACTAGGCAGAAAATGTGGATGCAGATGGATGGAACCCCCGCACATTTTCAACTTTGAATACGGCGATACTTAAACCGGCGTTTTATTAATAAATGGATCGGGAGAGGTGGTCCACATAATTGGTCTCCAAGATCTCCAGACCGTCGTTCCATTTTTTTTTTATGGAGACACACACAAAGTATAGTTTATAACACCCCACCAACTACTCCGAAAGATTTGAAAGTTATATTAAGAGCTGCTTTTCAGACAGTAACTGGAGAAATTCTTCTCAAAGTTGTGTTTAAAACAATATGGGCGTCACTTTGAACATTTTTATTACTCTTTTTCGTTTGTGTGTAGCTTTCAAATAATTCAAATTCAAGTCACAAAAACATCGACCGACCGTTATTTTCTATCATTGCTCCTGTCGTTTTAATATAATGCAATGCCTGTTGCAATGTTAGCCGAAGGAGTAGTTGTTTTCAGGAGATAAACGATCGCTCAATGTTTCTGAGACACGAACTTTTTTCCTTTGTTTTTCATTTTTATTGATATTTATTGACAAGAGCATTTGAAAGAATCATGATGTTGCATGTAGCCTTAAATTAACAGATCTCTTGATCTCATTATCAAATATCCCAAATTGCGTTGAAAGTAAAAATAAACAGACAAAAGCAAAACTAATAATTTTTTTCTTCCAAAGGACCTTGTTATGGAGACGAAAATGAAACGAGCTCTCCCTACTCTCGGCCAAGGGTTTCGGGCCTATCGACCAACCGACTCAACGTGGTCTCTTTCAGCCCTACTTTGACTTTGACCAGTCGACCGAAAGCTCTTCTGCCCTTCTGCCCTGCTGCCCTACAAGCGGCCCCTTGTCAACGACAACGTTCGAAAATTTCCACGCTTAAATTTTCCGAATAAAGTCATTAATTTTGCGTCTCAAACTTGAACGCTTTCGGACGCTGGGGTCGCTTCGTATTTTTGTTGCCTGCTTTGCTATTTTTAAATTCACCGAGGGTCAGGAGTCCTTTTTTTTTAACGGATGATACTGTGATGTAATTATATTTGTAGTAATCCTTACACTTATAGCTCTTGTTAAATTGGATGGTGGAATAGTAGATGAAATTTTGAAGCTCAGATTAACGAATTAAATATAGATATGTAACGATCTGAATTTGTTTGAAGTCAGAATCTAACTTTTTTCTATTACTTTCTCTTTCTCCTGGGTCTTTGATGTGATTAATCCATTTTAAATAGCAGCGCCAAAATTTAGTGACAACTGTCAACAAGCACTTGAAAATTGTCAGTTTTTGTTCGTACATTTTGTGTGATTTTATATCACTGGGACATATTTTAAAGGATTTTAAAGTTTATAGTATGTTTTTTTTTTAAATTTTAATAATTGTAAATCTAAAAATTATGATTGAATGTTTTGTTTGCCCTAAAACATACATTCGGAGAAGTTCAACGTCGTTATAAGGTAAGTAAATAAAAAACAGGCGGTACAAATATACTGTAGAATATTATTTGTAATTTTTTATTCAGGTTTCCAACAAACCTTAAAGCAATTTTAATTTGGATTCAAAACCTACATTTAGGAAAGGTTGAAGTTGATAAAATTAACGAAAACACAAATATTTAGGAAACAATAAATTATGATTTTGTTATAAAATCCGCTGGGAAAGACGAATTTAAAGCTGTAAGCAATTCCTATTTTATTCAGTTCTCAACTTGGTCCGTCTTCAAGTAAGTTATATAAGTAAGTTACAATAATAGAGAGTTATTGCAAGTTCACTTAAGGTCAGTCACTATTAGTGCCGCTTTTATTTTGACATCTGAGCTTGTGTAGATCACTTACATTCTAGAACTGAATTTAATAAAGATTGTGTCTGTCCCTAATTGTGGATGTTTAAGAAAAGCAGTTAGTGGCGACTTTATAGTTTTCGGGTGCGCTCGCCAACATTCGTACTAGTTCGAAATTTTTTAATATTAAATATTTAATATCATCCTCATTTAAACCTTCTAAATATGTAATTTCTAATGCCTCTTCCATATTATGTACTATTATAAACCAAAAAAAGGATAAACGGTAATTTAAAATTTTTAAAATGAGTTTAGAAATATGTACAAGGACAAGGACTCTAGGTATTGTCAAAATTTTAGGTTTGCAATAAGTCTTATTTTAGCATGGAATTTACTTGCCTCTAATTATTATTAGTGGGTGAAATTTGCAATATCTCTCTAATATTATGCAATACCTAATACAAATTATCCATACATTTTAAACTTAGTGATTAAATAATAGTATATTATGCAACAATCATATAATAATGGTTATTAATAACGAGCATTAACCGGGATATGGTTTATACGAGTGTATTAATAACACTAACATGAGAGTTGGTCACCTTAAGATGGATCAAAGGTCACGCCACATCGAAACGTAACCGTCTTGCCGATTCACTAGCCAAGAAAGGAGCCAACCAAATACTTTTTGGACCTGGCCCTTCTATTGGCCTGACAAAATCGGTAGTGACAGACCTAATTAAAGAATATTCCCTTGTGAAATTCAAGGAAAGATGGGATGAAACAAGAAACTGCAGAGTTGCCAGGGAGCTCTTAACTTATCCTGACAACACTGCAGCAAACAAATACTTGACTATGACTAGACAGAATCTGCGTCTGGTCACAGGCATTCTGACTGGTCATTGCCAAGTACGGAAGCATCTCCATATCATGGGGCAGTCAGAATCCTCACTCTGCAGAGGGTGCGAACAAGAAGATAAGACCATCGAGCATATCCTTTACGATTGCCCGACGCTCTCATTTATTAGAAGATTTGTGTTCGGCGAGTATCGGCTAACACCGGCCGATATAAGAGAAGCACCTCTTGGCGACGTTGTCAACTACATTAAATCTGTAGGCTGGCTGACGAGCTAGGAGGTGCCTATCATCTTAGGAGGATGCACAATGGGCCTAATGAGGCCTAAGTGCCGTGGGGGTAACCCACCCTCCACACGTTACAGTTACAGATACAGATGAGAGTTGCATACGCTATTTTTTCTACACCCGATAAATAATCAAGAACTATAAATATTTATATTTGTAATAAACACAATAACAGTTATTACTTATTTCTATAAAAAATTCTACAAAATTATAATTAATAGTATTACCTCAGGTATTAGTATTACCATAGATTTTTGGGGCAAAATATTTTGAACTGCATTTTCTGCTTTCTTCTCTATGTGTTGAGGAGTCGATGGTAAGTCTTCTATATCGCTGATATCAGACATTTTGATAATATAATTATCAAAGTTTAGCTATCTACGAAAATTTAATACGTACTGATTTTGACAACTAAAACAATTACATAGGAACCTAGGACAAACGTTAAATGCACAGCATGCTTGATTGAAAAATTATGGGTTTCTATTGAATAAAAATCTGTATCGCTATGAAAAATCTGTATCATAATGGGTATCATAAAACGGATTATGATGCCTTATTGTGCCTTATTATAATACGGGTGTAGAAAAAAATTATGCTATTGTATCTTCCTTGACAAAGTAAAATAAATCGTTTAGCCTAAATCTGTTATGTAAAAACCGTTGTCATGATAACAAGTGAGGCGGCTATGAGTAAATGAGGAAATGCGTATTTTCCAAGTGGTAGATGATTACGGTTTCTGTTTAATTTGATTTAGCTGAAATCAGTTATGCAAAAAATGTTACCATGGGCACGCTTTTCATGTTACCGACTAAACAAAAACCCAAATCTCGTGGTGATGATATAGTTTTAAGGTCGCGCAGTCGACGTTTCGAAATTCACGCACGCCAATTTCGAAATGCCGACTAAGCGCGCTCGCTTCGCTCGATCTCCTCTGTAATGGTTAGGAGGTAGGTGGGTGGAGTGAGCGTAGCATTCTTATGGAGAAACTGTTGCCATAGAAATGCTTCTCATGCTAGCGACTAAACAAAAACCCAAATCCCGTAGGTTTGGTGCCAGCTAGATCTCATTGCCTAATAAAACTTAAAAGACACAAAGATCCGTCGGAACTCTTTTCCCATTACTATCATGATAGTCCAGGGCATTTAGATCAAAATCGACCGAAATAGTGGACATTTTTAGGGACAGCAGATATCGAGATGCGGTTTTCCGCATTGCGTTAAGGAAGGTCCTAGGACAAAAGTCTATATCGTCTGGTTTAGCAATTTTTACAAAATGCCTTCTGGGCTGGAGAATGCACTTTCCAATTGAATCATTACTTGCACCATTATAGAAACGACTGGAAACTCGCCAAAATCGCTCAGAAATCGTTACTTGGGGTTTTTGGGGCTGCCAAACTCGATTCTGGCATTAGAATTACCCGGGGGTGCACGGGGGTGGCTCTGTTGGAGTGCGCGGGGGTGAATTTGGGGAGAAATGTCAGCGTGCATAAAAATCGCTCCAATATCGTTACTCAGAGTTTTTAGAGGTGCCGAATTTAATTCTGACATTGGAATTACCCGGGGGTGGCTCTGCGGGAGTATCCGAAGGGTCATTCTGAAGGGAAAATTGCATAGTCCATGGGAAGCGCTCCAAACTCGTTACTCGGGGGTTTTCCGGGATGCCGAATTCAATTTAAGCATTAAATTTTCCCGGGGGCGCTCGGGGTGGCTCTGTGAGGTTGTCTAGGGGTGATTGAGGGAAATAGCAGCTTTTATGAAAGTCACTTTAAAATCGTTACTCGGGGTTTTCAAGGATGCCGAATTCAATTCTGGCACAGTCGGTTTCACAAGAGCAAGAAATTTTTCTTAAAATTTCATCGGGACCGGCTTCCTGGGTCATGGTGATAGGACTGAGCTCTCCATGCACCAATTCCCACCCCAATCCAACGGAGCTAAGGTCTCGTATTGACCTTGTGAACCATACCAAGCCTGTACTTGGAAATAGATACGCTTAATATGCTCGGTTAACATATTGGCAATCTGGATTATGCGTGCAAGATCGACTTTTTTTAAAATTGGTAGCTTGAGCATACATGTTTGCTCGATAGCATTGAACGAGCAGGTTTAACGCTCGTGCGGACATCTTTGGGTACTCCGTAAAGAGCCAAAGCCAGACTAAGCCCATGATCTATAAAATTATCCATGAATACATGTGTTTATTTAAATATTTCTGCAAACCCATGTAAATAATTTAGATTTCTCAAACAAATTGCAGAATTTTACTTTGTCTCGATAGAAAAATGCTGAGGTTGTGTCGCATCCCGTGAAAGAACGTAGAAATAATATGATAAACCTGATGCACGCACTTCTGGATGCTAAGCTCTCGAAAGAATACACAACATCAGGTACTTTAGCAGAAGGCGGCTTCAGCAAGAACACTTCTAGATTCGGTGGAGTCCGAGAAGCAAGCATTGTTAGGACGTCAGTATCTTTCAAAACAATAACCACTTTGTTGTTCCGGCTTCCAGAAGCAGTATCAATGGTCTTAAGCACAATATCAACATCCGCATCAGCTACACTCTGCTGAGACATTATATTAGTACGTTTTAATTCCTCCTGGAGAAATTTAATGAGCTGGGACTTATTTTTGCTATTCCCTAGAAACTTGTTCTGAGTTACACTTGCCGGCAACGTCATGACCGTACAGGAATCTGGAGCCATGCGTACGGTGGCGGAATTTTTATGGATACATCCCCGTGTTAACGATACTCTACTCTCTTTATAGCTTTGGCGCCTTTTTCAAATCCAGTTTCGAGGCAGAAAAGACTTCCAAAGCAATTGTTTTTATAATATGTGTACCTAATATTTATTTACTTATTATTCAATCAAATTTTTTTATTCATACCCCAATTCTAATGCCAGAATTGAATTCGGCATACCCGAAAAACCCCCGAGTAACGATTTTTATGGACGTTGCCATTTATCCCCTAATCACTTCCAGACAACCCCACAGGGGGGTTCCCGGGCGCCCCCAGGGAAGTCTAATGCCATAATTAAATTCCCCGAAAACCCCCCGAGTATCGATTTTGGAGTGATTTTCATGGACGCTGCCATTTCCCCCCAATCAACCCCAGACAGCCCCACATAGCGACCCCCGAGCGCCCCTGGGGAAATCTAATTCTAGAATTGAATTCGGCATCCCTGAAAATCCCAAGTAACGAGTTTGTAGCGTTTCCCATGGATTATGCAATTCCCCCCTCCCAGAATGACCCCCCCGGATACCACCGCAGAGCCGCCCCCGGTTAATTTTAATGCCAGGATTGAATTCGGCATCCCCGAAAACCCTCGAGTAACGAGTGAAACGATTTTCATGCACACTGCCATTTCTCCCCCAATTCACCCCCCGCGCACCCCCATAGAGCCACCACCGTGTAATTTTAATGCCAGAATCGAGTTCGACAGCCCCGAAAACTCCCCGAGTAACGATTTCCGAGAGATTTTTCAGAGTTTCCAGTCGTTCCTATAATGGTGCAAGTAATGATGCAATTGGAAAATGCATTTTCCTACGACCACTTAGGAAAGTGGCACATATCACACTATGTAGTCCTATGGAAAGTTCCCTATATCACACGCGTATTAATAGGAATTTACTTTCCACCCGTGTACGAATATGCTACTTTCCGCAGCAGCTGTCACAAAATGTCAAACACATCATTTCTGTTTTGATCTATGTAATGTCCATATTAATATTAAAATCGATGATTGTTAAATTATTGAAATTGTTGTAAATTATATCCTAGATATTTATCTTTAACAATTATTATTAAAATAATTTTAAAATAACTGAGATATGTTTGCCCTTTATTCTGGTTAAACACATAACCGATTAGATCAATTAATTGACGGAAAGGCCTATTAGCTCAGATGGTTAGAGCGTCAAACTTATCAACTTTGCCATTTGAGACCTGGCGAGCGACCGCGTTCAAATCCAGGCGGGCCAGAATTTGTTTGTATTTTTTATTTTTTTTTTGTTTAGAAAATATGAAAATTGAATAAATACGATTATTGTTGATTATGTTTTTAAATAAATTTTAATTATTATAATAATTACCTGGTTTTAAATTTTTTGATGGGAAAAATATTGTACATCACTTGTGTGAAAAGTGATTTTCCACACTCGTGTGATAGTCGCACTCGGCTTGTGCCTCGTGCGACAATATTTCCCACTTGTGTGAAAAATGTCACTTTCCACACTCGTAATGTAATATACTATTTCCGGTCCAGAAGGCATTTTTCAAAAAGGGCTAAACCAGACGATATAGACTTTTTTCCTGGGATCTTACTGAACACAATGCAGAAAACCGAATCTCGATAACTGCTGTTTCTCCTAACTTCCCTGGACTATGAGTAATCAGACTTAGGAGTATATCGATGCCCTAAGTCTAAGAAGTGTAGGCCGGATCTTTACGTCGTAAAAGACACTTGGTTTGAACATAGTCATTTGTTTCCTAAAAAGGATTTTAGGTAAGTTTTTTATTATGTGTTTAATAACATTAATATTAAGTACAATGTATAATACAGAGTATTGTTTGGATTTGCTCATAACGAAAGTCATTAAAGGATTTCGTTGGGGGTGAGCGAAGATATTTCGATTGCAACAATGAGACATTGTAGGTAAAGAGTAACTAATGTATTCTCTTAAATGCAACATGGTTTGTCAAAAATTGGCGGACCTGGAATTATCGTTCAGGTACAGTAATTATTAAGGATGAACTTTTATATCCGATTAGAAAAAGTACGCCTTTATCAGTATTTTTTATTTATTTTTTTTTTTTGTTAAATGGCGCCCGATCTAGCGCGGATTTCGAATCGGGCGCGCTCGCTTCGCTCCTGCAATATTTGTGAAGATATTAGATTTATGATTTTTATTTTTTTCATTTAATATTTTAAAAACAGACGCCCGAATAATCTGTGTTTTTATATTTATTTTATATTGATGAATTCAAATTTGGTAAGAGAAAATATAATCGAGAACGCATTGTAGAAGGTCACTTTGGGTTTTGGGATTGATTGCACAAGGCTCAGATAACTTGAGATTAATTGTCTGTCCTAATAATAAAAAAATTGTCGAGACCCCGATACCTATAATTCAAGAGCATGTTGAACTTGGATCAATTATCCATTCTGACCAGTGGAAGGAATACTCTAGATTTTCTGAATATGGATAACATCATAGAACTGTTAGTTATGATAAAGAGTTTGTGACTGCTGATGGTACTCAAATAATAGAGTCCCAGTGTCCCAGTGAAGTGCTGCCAAAAAAATCTTTAGAGGTCAAAATATCCCTGGAGAAGAATTCGGAAATAGATTATACGAGTATTTATGGAGAAGATATTGCAACAAAATTCGATAAATTTTTAATAATCCAACAGAAGTTGAATCTCACTTTGGTTTAGTAAAATAATGGCATAAATGTAAAAAAAAACATTGTATTTAAAACAAAATAATTTTTTAGGTTGAAGCGAAAATTCTGAAAATCAACTGGGTTCTAAATTAGAAAAAATTATTTCACTAAAGCAAATAGATTCAACCAGTATTTAGATTATTACCTTTGTTTTTAAAATAAAAACTTTGGAAGACGTAATATTTTTTCAAAAAGGTGAAAATAAAAAAAATATCCTTATATGTTTAAGTCCATCTGGGGACACCTGGTATATGCGCGAGTCCGTACTCGTGCTCATTACTCGTCAGCTGTAAGACTCAGTACTGAGTGCTCTAAAATGTAAAGTACTGGAAAAAATTTGAATACTGAGTCTTATCTGGATGAAAGTACTTACTAGTACCAAAAACTGAGTACCTTGAATACTTTAAACGAATGCTGTTCATTTTTAGTGACACATCTCGATCATTTACTACTTAGCATTAAAAATAATTTTTACTGCTTAGGCATTTGAACTATTTGAAGTCTTGCTCCGCATGAGCATCCAGTCAAAAAGTTCCAATAAATTAACTACAAAGTCACTATATGTATATTTGTATAAGAATTGAAGCTATATAGTTATAAAAACAATAAATAGAATAAATTATAAAATTACGTAAGTTGTATTTGTTATAGTTAAAATGTATTTTAATTCCACTTTTTGAACACACTGTATGAACAATCGTTTTATTGTAATTTCTAATGAAATAACATTTTTTTTGATGTGATCGTAGAAAAAAATCTTGTGTGTAATTCGAGCAAAAAGTCCTGTGGCTACTTTCTGCTTTCAATACACAAATATAAATTTTCTTACTTAGCTACTACCTATATACTGATAAACTGTTATTGCCCTCATCATAAATGAATTGTTCTAACAAATGAAGTCAAAAAATTTCACATAATTTTTCATCTTTTAACAGTTACCAAAATCAAGTTAAACAACACAAATATATAAGTCCGGCCCATAATATCTCCCTACTCCTTCCGCCCAGTTTTTTTCGGTTTTGGCAAAATTTGTTTAGCAACAAATGTTTTCTGTTACCTCTATCCTTTTTTAACATCTTTGCATATGGGTGATCTATCTACATAACTATTATAAAGACTAGAATAACCATGGTATAAAAAATAAAATTTAGGATATCAACTGTGTCAAAAATAGGACGGCCACGCGCATGACGTCAAGCGTAGAATTTGTATAGGCGCGAATTTAAAAATACTGACGAAGTGTAACGAAAATATATGCTACTTACAGAAATTTGTTGAATATTAAGGATTCTATTTAAACCGTTAAATTAGACGGGATAGATATAGAATGGAAAAATGAAGTCAAATATCTAGGCCTAACCAAGGACAACAAACTTCTCTGGAACACACATGAGAAGGAAGTAGTAAATAAGGCCACAAAAGCCCTAATGGTATGCAGAAACATTGCAGGTAAACGATGGGGATGTAACCCAAACATTCTGCGATGGATGTATACTGCAATAGTGAGACCAATCATCACTTACGGGGCTATTGCCTAGAGTAACAGAACTAGTCTAGCTACTACGAGAGCTAATATCTCAAAAGTACAAAGACTAGCCTGTGTTTGCATTACTGGTGCAATGAGAACCTGTCCTACGGCCGCAATGGAGGTGATCTTAAACCTCACCCCTCTACATTTGCTAATAGAGAATGTGGCAAAAAGGACACGATATAGAATGATCAGTAACGGAGTAATCAGACGAAAGTCTACTTGCTTCAGGACTTAAGAAACCTGGGACATGCCCCAAGATGAATTGCTAAAGAAGTACAGTTTTGTTAAAAACTTCAAAACCACAGAGCTGGGCTGCAAGAAAGAATGGTGCCAAGAATCCATCGCGCTTGCAACCGAAAGACGTGCTATTTAGTGATATACAAACGGTTCGAAAACCATAGAAGAAACTGGAATAGGAGTGTATGGGCCGAGAACCAAGCACTCCGAAAGCTTGGGAAAATAACCAAGCATCTTCCAGGCGGAAATTCACGTCATTGAGAAGTGTATCCAGTTTAATATCGAGAGAAACTATTATAGACAAGAGATTATCATCATGTCCGATAGTCAAGCAGCCATAAAAGCGCTAAGCTCTTACGTAATCAGACTAAAAATAGTCTGGAGATGCCTAGAACAATTGAATGAGCTAGGCGAGAAAAATAAAGTAACTCTCACTTGGGCCCCGGGACATAATGGGATACAAAG